CAAAAAAAGAAAAAAAAAAAAAAAAAAAAAAAAAAAACACCCCACAAAAAACAACTATCCTCATAACAGAAAAGAACCTGAATGAAGAATTGTGGTCATAGTAAATGACCAGCCCAAAAGCAGGACAGGCAGGCAGACACAATTTATAAACCAGGATCAAGTAGGAAGCCGTACAGGGTAATTGGCTGGAGGATGGTTGTGGACTGACAAGCATGATTAAAACCTTTGGCACTCCCACGAGGGTGTGTTTTACCACCAGGAGCCCACCAGGCTCTCACTATGAAGAGCTGAGAAAAATCCCCTCATTCTGGGGGTGGGGGTATCTTGAAATAAGCACAGAGACTTGTTCTTAACAAAAGCCTGTTCTGAAGGGGAACTCTTAGGTAGGACCTAACTGATCTGGGGGAGAGGAAATACCTAACTCCAGCCTCAGACGTGAAGGGACGTTCAGAAGCCTTATGAAGATTACAGTCCAGGGACAATAGGCTACTTAAAACTGTAGGGTGTGGTGCCCCGTGCTTGTAATCCTAGCTGAAGGAGGAGGATCTTGCGGTTGAGGCCAGCCAGCAGTCTGAGCAACTTAGGGAGACCCCTCTCAAAAGGGGGAAAAATGCAGAGTGATAAGCAATAACAAATTAGCCTCTCCAAGATTCAGACTCCAGACACTAGAAAATAACAACTTGGGGAAGAAAAAGCAAGGTGGATCCCTAGGACCCAGTAAAGATCTGAGAAGAAAATGGATCCCCAGAACACACCACAGAAAAAGAGACAATCATTTTCTCCCTAGCTGCTGGCTTGTGGCTCACAAGAAAGGAATATGGAATCTACAGAGCCACCATGAAAGTAGGGACTCCAGAGGCCTTCAGGGAGAAGCATGGCAGTGAACAGACCAGTGGGTGCTGTCTGCTGCAACAGCTGGTGCAGCACTCAGCAGCCACAGGTTGACTTCATTTCAGGACCCCGAGCATTACTCTCCCACAGTGACTGGGCAAGAGACAGCCACAGGAGACATCTGTGGTCGGGCCAGCAAGTGGCCTCCCGCCCAGAGGGCTCTTAAGCTCAGCCTGCATCTCAGTGGATATGAAAGTCCCAGAATTGGCACACACATACACCCCAACTCCTCACTGCCTGCTGGTGACTCTTCATCCATTGAGGGCTCCAACTGCATTCTTTATGTGCTAGTGAAAACGCAGCACATCTTAAATTGGACACTGCCCCAAAACTAGACACCAGAAGAAAAGCACACAGTGGAAATCACAGGGAAAGTTCCTTTTTTCTTTGGTTGGTTGTTTTGTTTTTGTTTGGTTGGTTATTTTGTTCTGTGAGGTTTTTTTCTTTTTCTCTTCTTTACTTCTTTGCTTTCTTCACTAGTTTCCTGGGGTTTGGGAATCCTCCCTTATCTTTCTGCCTTGCTTCTTATCCTTTTTCTATATTTTTCCTCTTTCCCCCTGTTGATTTTACTCTATATGATTTCTTGTCTCTTTCTCTTTTGTCTTCTATTTCTTCCTAGTTTTTTTATCTTACCTTTACTAATATCTGTTTACTCTGTGATAAGATCCTTTGTAGCATTTCTCTTCTTTTTCGTATCATAGAGTTTAAGGTTTCAAAGTTTCCCTCTTCCATTCCCCCATTCCTAAACCCTGTATCTTTACTAGTAAAACTGTAAAGCTTTGTTGACCTTTTGATAGTTATTTCTGTAAAATTACTATGGAATTCTTTTCTGCCATTAGCAGAGATATAGCTGTTGCATTTAGTACATATTAGCTGTAAGTCAATACCCGGGTTGCCTTAATGTTTACATCGTAATTGTTGATTTCTTCTCTAGAACTAAGGGTGATATGTAATTGGTTGTTATGTTAATGTCTAATTTGTCTTGGACAATACTACTGTAGCTGATTGGCTTCATATTAATGGGGTGACAGAATTATCACTATTTCTCTGTAAGCCAATCCTCAGATTGCCTTTGTGACATTAACAATACTAGAGTACATTCCCAGAGAAATTGGCTGCTGCACTAACTATGCTGTATCTTTCTCTCCCAAATTAACCAAGGGGGTCAGAACTTGGGACTGTGGCAAAGGATTACAGTTAGCCATGCCCAAATTATATCACTAAAAAGCAACTAAAGAGATCTCTATACTAGCAACGAAGTTTCTAGACTGTAAGCATCCACAAACCTAAGCATAAAACCAACCAAACAAAAACAGAAAAGGCACAAAATGCCCCCCAAAACTCCCAACTTCCCTGAAGCCAATCTAGGGGAGGAGGTTAGAAAACAGCTTAAAAAGGAACTCAGCAGGATTAGAGAAGACAAAACTAAATAGAAGTAATAACAAGATGGAGGAGATTTCAGAAGACACTAATAAAAAGATGAGTTAAGCAAAAGGATACAAAACATGAATGACCAGTTTACCAAAGAATTAGAGTCCGAGAAAAGTTTCAATCAGCAATCTGGGTTGAAAATTATATTGAAAGTACCAGGCATGGTGGTGTATGCCTTTAATCCCAGCACTCAAGAGGGTGAGGCAGGAGGATTGCCCTGAGTTTGAGGCCAGCCTGGGCCACATAGTGGGTTCAAGGCCAGCCTGAACTGCATAGTGAGATGTTGTCTCAAAAACAAAAACAAACAAACAAAAAACCCCAAAACAACCAGAACCAACCAATCTGAGGCCAGAACTTCAGTACTAGAAGACAATGATGCCTTCAAAGGCCAACTAAAGATATTCCTCATTTCATGACCTACCTGTTTAATGACTGTTCAGACTTA